AGGTCCTCCCACTACTACCTTGAGCCCTTGGGGTGGAGCAGGAGGCAAAGGGGGGCACAGGTTTGAACTCCACAGGTGGCTGAGGGCCCGGGGTCCCAGACAGGAGAGGAACATAGGGGAAGCTGGTGTCTGGGGTCCCAAGGACAGGGGATGGGGAGGGCAAGAAGGAAGTCCTCCATTCATCCGGGCCAGGGGGAGCGTTGTTACTGTTATTATCATGAAGCATCTCGAGGCTCACACTCGTCCTGGCCTGACTGGGCCCCCCTAATGGTCCCATAAATCCCGGCCATAAAGAGTAATGGGGGGAGACAAATGAGATAATTAGGAATAAATCTCAGCGTGGTCTCTATTCATCAGCGTCCCTAGAACTGGCCAATCTTCCGAGCCATTAGACAGGTCCTAATGAATGCCGAGCTGCCCAGCTCTGTGGAGGCTCCATGCCCGGGAGGGACCCAGGCTGAGGGGCCCACTGCCCCCACAGCCCACATCGGCGACCTTGGGAGGGGCGGGGGCCATGTGCCTGCAGCCCGCCTGCTTCACCTTTCTGTCTCAAGGGCCTTACTTTGTCCGCACTGTCCTGTCTGCCTCCTTGTCTCTGTCTCCTTTTCTTCATCTCACCTGTCTCCCCGACTACAATCCTGTGTTTCTCTCTTGCTAGATGACCGCAGTCTGTGTTGTTAGCTATGGAAGGTCTGAGTTAGAAGGAATTGTGGGGGGCACCTGTAAAAACTCTCCACCATCTGTCCTTTCTGCCACGCTGCCAATACCTGGGCAGGGACCCAATCTACACCTGCTTCCCCAGAATGGTCTTTGGAACAGGGATGACCCCCGCCCTGCCCCCGCTGTGGCAGTCCATCCTCCCTGGGGCAGTTCTTGCTAGCAGAGTGTTCTCTCGTTCCTGGAGCTGGGAATGTCTGTGACGTCTGCTTCTCAGTCTTACCCCTACCTGCTGGAGACTGAAAATAAGCCCCACTCTCCTCCCCAAGATGCAGGCATTTGAAGGCCATTCTTGCCTTCTGTTCGTCAGCCAAATGTGCTGAGCTGCACTTGACACCTTGGGGTTTCCAGCTGGGTCTCCCCTAGTTAGGGACTTCTCTACCACCCATGCTCATCTGACCGCACAGTGACTTCTGTTGTTTTAATCTGTTAGCTTCCCCCCGTTTTTGTTACAGCACCCTACCTCTTTGGGAGGCTTCCTTTCCTTGATTCTATAAGGGTCTGGAGGGGTGGCCAAGTAGCCCACCCTCCAGGCCACAGAGGCAGCCCACGATGAGGCCTGGCCAGCCGCAGCCCTTTGTCCCCCTGGCAACGTGATTGGCTCAGGGATGAGCCTGTTGTGTGTGCGGGGCCAATCAGAGTGCTTCCCTGGCCTTTGCTCTGTGGCCCCAAGGGGGTAGAACTGAGACTGTGCCAGGTGGACAGTGTGTCTACCCCTTCCCGCTCCACCCGTGTCTGCAGTAGGAGGAAATGTGCCCAGCACCCAGAAAGAAGCAGACTCAGAGATGGCAGGGAATGTGAATGGGGAGGTGGCTACGGCCGGGGAAAAGTGGTGAAACCAGTGAAAGGCAAGGAAGGGCTGGGAGGCGGCTTTTCTCCAGAGGACGCGAAAGATGAGGGGCCAGCTGGGGTGATAAGAGGGCTGTGACTGAGAGTGCCATCCCATGCCACATGACCCCACCAGCCTAGGAAAGTCAGAGTGCAGAGAGGAGCATCTGCACAGAGATGACAAGGGACCAGGTCTGTGAGCTCTGTCCCCACCACCCGCTGCTCCCCCACTGTGGCCTGAGCTTCCCGTCCCTGCTTCTCCCTCACCTCTCTTTGCCCAGGGCCAGTCCCAAGGGCAGCTGCACTGTTTTCCCAGCTTGGCCAACAAGCTGCCCCCTGCTCAACCATGGGAGTGTGTGCAGCAGCTTTCCTGAAAACCTCAGGGACCAGCCCTGGCCCCCACGACTGGACCATCTCCCTGGGGAACAGGTGAAGCTATTGGGGGTGACGGCATGGGGTGGGGTGGACCTGCTCTGCCCAGTGTCCGTCCTGGCAGCTCTGCAGCCGCGGAGGCCATGGGGCCTGAAGCTCAGCTGGCCCTGCGCTGGGTGTGAGAAGAGGCCAGGCCAGTTCAAGTTCCAAATTCAGGGAGAAGCTGATGGAGACTTTGGAGGCAGAGGGCCCCGGCTGATTGCCCTCCCCTCACAAACCAGCCCCTGGCTCAGCTACTTGCTGTGTGGTGGGGCCACCTCTCAGGTTTGGCGCACAAGATCACTGAGTGGTCATGGATAGTACTGGCCAGGGCTGGCTTAACTTGGCCTCACCACCTTTTATCCCATAAGCAGGGGGTGCTTGCTCTGGTTTAGACAACAGGCTAAATCAAATGGGGATGGGGGTGGCCTCTTAAGACAGCTCCCAGACAAAATTGGGCCAATCCGCTGCTCTAACGATGAAAGAAGACCAGAGAGAGGCAGGTGTTCCCTGGACACTGTGGCCACCGTTACGGCTGCAGTCTCCCGCTCTTCCATTGTACACACAGGGAACTAAGGCCTGGGGAGGAAAGGGCCCCTTCCTGGCAGCCCACAGCACAGCCAGGCCTAGAACTGTCACCTGGCACAGCCCAGACATTGGAAAGCAGAGCCTGGGAGCCTGTGGTGGGCCATGAGGAGAGGTACAGATCCAGAGCCAGGGCTTGCCCTGGTTGGGGGTGGGCAGCCTCTAGATGAATGCTGTTTGCTGCCCGGCAGGGATGAGAGCACCTGGGCAAAGACGGGGAGCTGAGGAAGGCAGGGCAGGTGTGGGACGAAGGGGGAATGGACCGACATGGGTCTCCGCAGCCCAACCTCAGGCTGGCCTGGGGTGGCAGCAGCTGCAGGCTCTGAAATGGGCAGTGTGTGAGTGTGTGCAGATGTGGTGTGAGTGTGTGTGTGGTGCGGGTGTGGAATGCATGAGCCTATGGAACGTATCTGAGTGTGTGGCTGTATGGAGAGGCTGTGTGAGAGTATGTGGGTGCACGTAGGCGTGAAGTGGGTGTGTGTTTGCAGTGTGTGTGTGTGTGTGTATGTATGTGTGTGTGTGTGTGTGTGTTTGTGTGTTAGGGGGCTGGCTAAATTCTTCCCCAGTCCCGCCCCCACCCAGCCCAGCCTCTAGGGTTTCAGCCACTGTCCTAAAGAAAACAGCCTGGAGCCTGCAGCAGGAAATGGCTGTTTGGATTGCAGCGGCGCCTCTTCCTGCCACAGCCCTGCGGAGCGGGGAGGGCCAGGAGCAGGCCTTCCTGCCCACCTGGACCAGATATGGAGCTGGTCAGGAGCCCCTTCACCCCCGATCTGGCCTGCCTAACATCCCTCAGACTCCAGCCTCGAGGACTGAATTAGAAACTCTCCCACCATTGTCTCTCCAGGGCAATGGGAGAAGTGGATGCCCCCCCAGGCCGAGTGAGCCGAGGGTGGTACACCCTCACAGGGGACAGCAGGGCAGTCCTGTCAATGGCAGGCCCAGCAATCCCACGTTCACGAACATTCTGCCAATATAGCTCATTCAGGCAAAAGGGTGTGTTCGCTCAGCCTTGTTGTAACAAAGCGCTTGAGCCGTGGACTGCGCAGGGCTGGGTCCCTGGACTGTGGCGAATCCATCCAGGAGACTCAGGCAGCTCTCCGTGTGCTGAGAAGGAAGACCCCCAACACATGGCCAAGTGGGAGAAACAGGGTCCAGGACAGTGTGTACAGGATCCTCATATTTTTGTAAAAAAAAGAAAACACATACATGTAAATGCTTGTGTGTGCACAGATTAGACTTCCAAATCTTCCTTGGGTGTGCAATAACTAAAAACCATACAAATACACACAGAGATACATGAGTACTGGGGGTGCCTCCGGGGCCCTCTACTGGCTTGGTAGTGACACCCCCGGGCAGTTCCCTTCCTCTCTGTGTCCTGAATTTCTTGTGTGCTCTCAGAGGTCAGAAAAGCCTGAAGCTGGTGCAGTGAGGCCTGTGTGAGTGGGGATGGAACGGGGAGGAGAGGGGGCTAGTTCTCTTGCTGCCTCTTGGAACCTCCTCCTCCTGCTGCAATGAAACCCACTCCCAAGGCCATGGGCTGCTCTCTCCTGTGACATTCCTTAAGAGCGTTTGAATTTCGTCTGGCCCTTTCCCCCAGTCACCCCGCACTTCCTTCCAGAACCCCTCGGAACCACTCCAAGCCTTCATTCCTGGAAGCAGTGCCCACCAATACCCTTGTGGTCCCCTCTGAAGCCTACATCAGCTGAGTCTTCTCCAAGTCACCCTAATCGTCTGAAAGCCTCTCATGCCCCCTGGACCTCTCCTCAGGTCCAGGATGTGTGTGGGGGGTGCTGGTCCAGCTACCCCCAGTGCAGCCCTGCAGTCTTCACAGCTGCCATTGCTTCTCAGGTTCCTCCCTCTGCATAGCAAGGCCGCCCCACAGATGGCCTTGGGGGCCCTTGCAGTCCTGACACAGCTTCCTTCTTTCTCAGACCCCTGGCAATGGGGGGATGCCTGAGGCTGTGTGTGTAACCCCAACCGGGCCTCCATTGAAGCTCAGGGGCAAGCCTGGGGTGCCCCGGGCCTGGAACTGGCCCCCTCCCAGGCACCCCTCTGGTACCAACATGGGCGTCACCTATGCCTTGGAACGACTTCATGGGGAAGAGCTGGAGAAGCTGGAGTCAGCAGGAGATTAATTAATCAGAACCCGAACACATCTGCTGTTAATTAATTCCATGCCAAGGTTAACTCTTCCCTCTCTGGGCTTCTCCTCCCTTTGGTGGGAAGAGGGAATAATGGTGGGAGAAGGTACCCCACTTACCTTCTCCCCTTAGAGGGAAATGTGAAGAAGGGAGGGGAACGTGAAGGGCAGGGCAGTTTCTGGGGTAAGAAAAGCAGAAGAGGCAGGGCCCCCAGAGGGCAGGGCAGTCTCATCCATGTGGGTGCTTTTTAGGGGCGGTAGGAGCATTTGCTTTTGAGAGTCATGGCCCATGGAAATTAGTCATGAGTGCTGAAGAAAGCTGAGACGGACAAATATCTTTATTTACAACAACAAATAGAACAGACCCTCCCTCCCTTCCCTCCCTTTCCCATTCCAGTCTTTTCCATACTGTTCCCCCTCCCACCCTACCCAAAGGCCTTGCCTAGCCCTGCTTTCTGGGGTCACTGCATGGGTTAGGCCCCCACAAAAGCCTAGGATAGGAGACTGGAGACGGCTGGCTGAGGGAGGGTGGGGCGTCTCTTTTCACATTTGCTGTCCTCTAAGCCCGAGGTGGTGCAGAGAGGCGGGCGCCAGGAGCAGGGAGAGGTAGAGAGCCACGGCCCCACCAACCCACCCTCCCCAGGTAACTTTCACAGTGTTCTGTAGCCCTGGCTGGCCCCCTGCAGCCCCCACCCCAGCCCTGCCCTTAGGTTGTCCCACCAGCTCTTTGGTGATGTGTGTCCCTGGTAACCCACTGAAGAGTTCAGGCTTCTCTGCCGTGGGCCCACCACCCACAGCTGAAACAGCCCCTCTGAGCACGCCCCCACCATTTTCAAGGCTGGGGTTCTGAGAGGACATAGGTGGGTGAGAGAGGACCAGAGACAAGGGGCCTTCAGAAGCCTTGTGTGACAGTCCTAGGCCTGGCCCCAATCAGGGGACCCTGCTGGAATCTGCAGGGGTGCCCGGCTGGCCCGGTCCCCGACAGAGGCTCAGGAGGAGAAGCAGAGCCCACAGCACTCCATGCAGATCTCCAGGCAGTCTGCGGACTCGCAGCAGGCGTCCAGGATGCCGCAGTCCAGGTCGCAGGGCAGGTCGCAGTCAGCACACTCGCCGGAGCCGCAGCAGCAGCAGCAGAGGCACGAGTCCTCTGAGCTGCAGGAGCCGCAGGTGGCGCAGTCCAGGACAATGTTGCACAGCGTCAGGAACTCGCAGAACAGGCAGGACAGGATGCAGTGGACACAGCAGTCTGCGGGGTGGGCAGAAGAGACGGGGAGGGGAGAGCATGTGTGAAATAGCCAGGGGCGTGGGGGCCCAGCAGCAGTAGCAGCGGCGGGGATGCTGAGTGCTCACCGTGCGCCTGCCCATGCCAAGCACCTGGCACACATGAAGCTCACGTGTCCGTCCCCTAGGTGATGACCCCGAGGCACACACAGTTGAGCACATCAGAGCAGGGTCCAGCCCAGGCAGTCTGGATCATCCTTGCTCTGAGCCAGCCTCAGTTTGCTTATTTAACCAACATATGGAGTGATACTTATTCTGGGCACTATTCTGAGTGCTCTGCATGAATTACATTCATTTAGACCTCCAACGGCGACTCTATGAGGCAGGGGCTATCACTAGCCCCACTCCACAGATGAAGAGACTGAGATTAAGAAAAGTTAAGTCGGCTGGGCCCAGTGGCTCATGCCTGATCCCAGTACTGTGGGAGGCTGAGGCAGGTGGATCACCTGAGGTCAGGAGTTCAAGACCAGCCTGGCCAACATGGCGAAACTCCATCTTTGCTTAAAATACAAAAAATTAGCTGGGTGTGGTGGTGCAAGCCTGTAATTCCAGCTACTCAGGAGGCTGAGGCAGGAGACTCGCCTGAACCCAGAAGGTAGAGGCTGCAGTGAGCTGAGCTCACACCACTACACTCCAGCCTGGGCCACAAGAGCGAGACTGTCTCAAAACAAAAAGAGAGAAGCTAAGTCTACACCCAAAATCCTACCACCTGGCTCATCTCTCACCTGGACACCTTCAACAGCCTCCTCACTGGTCTCCCCACTGCCTGGCTTTGTCCACTGCCCCCGAAGCATCTCCATTCCACACTGCGACCAGAGGGATCCTTTAGAAACGTCTGTTGGATCCTGGCCCTCCTCTGCTCAGACCGCTCCCATGGCTCACATGTCACTTGTGATAGAAGCTGAAGTCCTCACAGTAGCCCCCGAGGCCCCCTGTGGTCTGGTCCCTGTGCCCTCTTAGTTCTCTTCTCCCACTCCTCTCCTCCGGATCACTCTGCTCCGGCCACTCCGGCCTCCTGGCTGCTCCTTGGCCATGCAGACACTGATTCTTCTGCCTGGAACAATCTTGCCACAGGCACATGCTTGGCTGACTCACTCATCTCCTGCTTTGTCCAAATGCCACCTCTCGCTGAGGCCTTGCACCACCGGCCTCAATACTGCAACTGGCTGGCTCTGCCTCGCACTCCCTGCCTGGCCCTACCTGGCTGCCTGCTTCCCCCAGAGGCCATCGCCTCCCACCGTGCTACACGGTTTCCTCACGTTCATTGTCATCTCCTCCTACTGGATATGTAAGCTCCAGCAGGGCAGGCACCTTTGCCCATTTTGTTCACTAACAGATTACAAGTCCCTAGAGCAGCGCCTGGCACATAGGGGTGCTGAGTGAACAGAAATGCATGAAGCTGTGCTGGGCACCAGCTGGGAGGTGCTGGAGCTGGGACTTGAGTCAAGGCTGCTGACTCTAGAGCCTCTGTCCTGCAGCGCTCCATGTGCTGGGGCCAGGCCGTGGGGCAGAGCGTGCAGTTCTCCTGGCCAGGGGCCCCTTGGGAGACTCACTGTGCGGAGGAGGGAGGAGGGTCTAACCCTGTTCTCCTGCATTCCTGTGTGGAGGGACCAGGGTCTGGCGATCTCTCTTCAAACTGGATAGGGTAGTTCTTTTCAAATGTAAATTGGATGAGTCACCACCTTGTTAAAAACCCTTCAGGGGCGCCCTACTGCTCTCCAGATAGTCTAGGTTCACTGCCTGGTTGGTAAGGACCTCCCAGGACCCCTGCCTGCCACGAGTCTCGCCTTTGGCACTTCACCCTCCAGCCATACTGGCCATTTCTCACCTCTGTGCTCTCCTGGCTGGAGCCTCCTTCCCATCTTTTAAGGCATGCTCCAAGCCTTCCCAGGATTCCCTCCCCAGATTTCTGGGCTGGTGTGAGTGTCTCCTTGGGTTCACATAATCCTCTTTGTGACTTTTTCACTGCATTTATCACCTTTTACGGCAATTACCTATCTATGTCTCTCATGAGAGCTTTATGACGGCATGAACCAGGTATCCAGCACATGGCAGGTGCCTAGGACATTTCATTTTATTTTGCTTTGAGATGAAGTTTCACTCTTGTTCCCCAGATTGGGGTGCAATGGCGCAAACTTGTCTCACTGCAACCTCTGCCTCCTGGGCTCAAGCGATTCTCGTGCCTCAGCCTCCCAAGTAGCTGGGATTATAAGGGCCCCCCTCCATGCCCTTAGTAGAGACAGGGTTTTTTGTATTTTTAGTAGAGACAGGGTTTCATCATATTGGCCAAGCTGGTCTTGAACTCCTGACCTCAGGTGATCCACCCGCCTCAGCCTCCCAAAGTGCTGGGATTACAGGCCTGAGCCACCGTGCCCAGCCAGGACACTTTACATGAATAAATGGCTCCTTCATAACTAAGACTATTGGGCCTGGGCAAAGTGGCTCTTGCCTGTAATCCCAGCACTTTGGGAGGCTGAGGCAGGTGGATCACAAGGTCAGGAGTTTGAGACCAGCCTGACTAACATGGTGAAATCCTATCTCTACTAAAAATATAAAAATTAGCCGGGCATGGTGGCACACGCCTGGGAGGCTGAGGAAGAAGAATCGCTTGAACCCAGGAGGCGGAGGTTGCAGTGAGCTGAGACTGTGCCACTGCACTCCAGCCTGGGCAACAGAGCAAGATTCCATCTCAGAAAAAAACAAAAACAAAAACAAAAACAAAAAAACTGTTGGGCAGAATCTGCTCTGTGGAGTGGGAAGGTTTCTAAGCATGTTACGTGCAAATGTGTAAACTGAATCTATTTGCAGATGCCCAGGCCAGTGTCCTTCCACACAGACAGGAACCACTGGAACATTCTGGGGTGAAGTTCAGGCCATCACTGAGCTCAGGCAGCTGTGAGCCATGTTCACCTGATGGCTGGTGAGGAGGGGGCTGGCTGCCCTGCAGCCCAGCGGAGATCTTTGTGTTGCAGGCACAACAGCTGTCTGGGAGTTTCGATACTCTGACCTCCCATTGCACCTTGCAGCCCTGCCCCGGCACCATTTTGTTCTGCTACATGGTCTTTTTTCCTCCCTAGACAGAAAATTTCTGTTTCCAGAAACAGAGTGGCTTAAGATGGATCAACCCAGGTGGCTCCGTTCCTTGTTACAGCAATTGTGGGAAAGCAAGGATGGGAGGGGTGGGGGAGGAACAAGGTGGGCTTGAGGAGGTAGATATGCCTCAGTTTACCCAGTAGGTGCACTTTTCGAGGTTCTATGATTTGATCATGCATCAGGTTCCCTGCAGGGCTTGTTAAGCCCCACCAGGGTCCAATCCAGTAGGCTTGGAAGGAGGTTGAGATCCTGCATTTCTAAGCAGCAGCCTGGTGAGGGTGCTCCTGCAGGCCCCTGGGTCCTGCTTCCAGAAATCTGGCTTTGGAGGCCTCTCCCAGGGAGAGATGGGATGGGGTGCTTACCTTCCTGTGCCTGGAGGGGGATCTGGGAGGCGGTGGATTTGGTGCTGCTCTTACTCTTCTTGCTGCCCTGGCTGGCAAGAGATGCGTGTGTCTGCAACTTCCGATGGGCCTTGGGGCCACTCAGGGCACCATTCCCCGCCTGTCTGGTGCTGCCTAGCTCTGAGGGGTGGCCAGAGCCATTCGGCAGTAGTGGGGTGCAGCCCAAGGGGTTCCCCTGAGGCTGACCTGGAGAGATGAAGAGAAAGGCTGATGGGAAAAGTGTGGGGGTCATTCAGTCCCCAGAGCTGTGCTCAAATCCTGTCTGCTTCATTCTTTCATACATCCCAAAGCACCCAGCCATACCTATATCCTGCAGATGGGGAAACTAAGGCCCAGAGGGAAGAAATGGCTAGTCCGGAGCCATGCCATGAAATTGGGTTGGCCCTAGCTCCTGACTCTCAGTTCAGTGCTCAGTCCAGAAATGACAGATGTACAAGGGGAAGGGCTTGGAGCCCTAGGCCTCTCCTTCGTTCCTCGCACAAAGTCCATTCTCCTGCTCTTGTCATCCTGAGGTTTTGGCAGAGTGGTGGCAGTGGCGGTGTTGGGGAAGAGGGGTGGTTTGGCTGGGGTAGGGAGGACAGCAGTGAAGCAGTTAACCTTCACCTTGGCCTCTGCCAAGTCCCCAGCTGTTATTGCCCTTGGCACACTGGGTGATTTATTGGAAACATCTGTTTGGAGATGAACGCCTGGCCCTGGAATCCAGGGGCTCCTCACTGCAGCCCCTCTACCTCCTGCTCCTTCCTCCTGGTGTCTTAACTCAAACCTCTGCCCTCTGAATTCCCAGCCCCATCCTGCCTCTGTGGGCAGCTGGCAGAGTTTGGGGAGGGGCCTTGGGGTCTGGGAGAGGAGGGAGGGAAGGTGGCAAGCAGAAGGGCAGTGGGGAGACCCCCAAAGCCAGGAGCCCTGGGTCCCCACTGCAGGCTGAGGGACCAAACTTCAACTTGATCAATGGGGTGCAGGCAAGGTGACCCTGGAGATCCCCCAAGCCCTGAGTTACTTCCTGCCCCTCACTCAGGGATGTTCAGTTCTGTATGAGAACTGGTTGGCTCAGTTCTATTCTCAAGAGATGAGGGGAGGTGTGTACGGTGCGGGGAGTAGGGAGGGACTGAGGAGGGGTCACTGAGAGTTCTGGGGCTCCTCAGCTGGGCAGGACTCCTGACTCCTGGGCAGGACCCTGTGGCCCCAAGGACCCTCTGGAAATGTAGGGCACTTCAGTCCCTCAGGAGCTGGAGTCTGGATCCCCATCTCCTTCCAGGTCTGGCCTGTGTATGTGAATTGTGTAGGAGGGAGATGTCTTGGGGGCCCTGGAGCCCAAGGAGAGGGGAGGGTGGCCTCGATGACTCCTTTGGCCAAGGAGGCCAGGTCTTCCAGTGATGGCAGCAGTCACAAGATCGCACACTGCGTGCTCCCCGCACACCAGCCCTTCTAAGTACTTGCTGCTCACAGATCCCCTTGGTATCGCTAGCCTTCTTTTACTGATGAGGAAACCGAGTCCCAGAGAGATAGAGGTACAATAAGTTGCCCAAGGTCACACAGCTAGCAAGTGTCAGATATGGGACGAGCTTAGAGATTAAGAGCTGGGCTCAGAGGGCAGAGGCCCGCAGCGGGGCAGAGGCTGGGAGACAAGCGACCGAGGAATAAGCTGCTACATCACGACAGTCACTACCCTCATGACGCGTGGCGTGCGTGTTTCAGGCAGGTATTATGTCCCAGGCACAGTGCTGGCAGCTTTAGGTGGAGCAGCTTCTTTACGCATCACAAGAGATCTACTACTGGCCCCATTTCACAGATGAGAAAACGGAGGCCCAGAGGGGGAAAGCTTGCCAGAAGTCCCGTAGCTGGGAAGTGGATCGGGGAGGGCATGAAGATTGGGGGAAAGGAGCTGAGGACAAGGTCGGGGGTCAGGGGGAGGGTGGGAGCCAGGGTTCTGGAGAGGCTCCATGCTGGGAGCCTCCAGCAAGAGCTGTGGCTGGTGTCTGCATCTGGGTAAACAGGGGTAAGGCTATGGGAAGTGGCCAGGCCTGAATCATCTGGCCCCCACCTTCTGGCCCCCACACAGGGTGACTGGGCCGAGTCCTTGGCCAGCTTTGGTGCCCCTTGCCCTGTTGCCTAAACATGGGTGCCGTGACCAGAGGGCGGGAGTGTGCGGTGAGCTGAGGGATCTGGGAGATGTGGACAGACACAGAGCTTGCCTGTGGCCATGGCCGTGGGGGCGGCCGTGGGGGCTGAGTCACAGAGCAAACACTCAGGGCTCACAGACACAGGAGCGTCTGTCCCATTCCCACCAGGCCCCCTCCTCCACAGCCACGGCATTGAGCTCTTTCAATTCTGCTGGTGGGTGTGCTGGATGAGACCAAGGGCCGTGCACTAGCAGGATAGTAACCCTGACTTCCAGGGAGTCCAACTTAGTCCCAGATGCCCTGGCTGGAGGAGGCTGCCCGCCCGGCCATGCCAGCTGGGTGTGCAGGCAGGCACTGGGAAGAGTGCTGGGCCAGGAGACCTGAGTTTCCCAGCTTGTGACCAGGGTGGGCGTTTCTCTGTGCCTGTTCCCTCGTCTGTAAAATGGGCTTGGCAGTAGCCATCCTGCTGCCTCACTACAGGCTGATTAGGCGAGCAAGTGAGCCCACTCAGGGACAGAAAGTTGGGAAGTAAAAGTATGTCTATAGATGTGGGCAAATCCTCGTTGTTTATAAAAATGATCCCAGCTGTTGCTTCTCCTGTTCTTGAGGGTGAAGGTGGAAAATTCTCTCCCTCCCAGGACCTCCTTGGAGAACTCAAGCCAGGCCTGGGAATGGAGCTGAATTTTGTTCTATTTGCCACCCCCCAGAGCAACTGGGGGCTTCTTCCTTTTAGCCTTGATTCCCAGAAGGATGGGGCTGCATCAGGCTCGGGCTCGCTGCCCCACGCCAGCCCTGCAGCTCTCTTCTTGAGGCCGGGGGCGCCTCTCTCCAGGCAGCCGCATGCTCTCTGTCCTGAGCCATTTTGCCTGGAGCCTGCCCGCACTCCTGCTTCCTAGTCACTTTGCAGTGGAGGTCTGCCCCTTGACAGACAGAGCAGTGACATTGCCCTACCCCTTTCTGCTGCCATGCTGCCACCCTCAGGAGTCCTGGCCAAGTGGGTGCACCCATTTTTGCCAACCCATTTGTGTTGAGTTCCCTAGTGCAACCGCTACATGTTGCCATCCAACCTCCTGGTTCTCTAGGACTCACATGTCACAGCTTCTGTGGGGACATCGAGGTCAGTGCTGTCCAAGGCCTGGGAGACCCCAGGGCCATTGCCTTGGGGCATGGGGGTTGCCGCCTCCTCCAGAGAGCCCTCCTCTGGCGCTGCCTCTGCAGGGTGAGTGGATCCTGTTACTACCTCCAGCCCAGGAAGGAGGGATAGGGTCTGGGCTAGGAAAAAAGCAGATGACTGAGGTCCATTTTCCTGGGGCCCTCCTTTTTGCCAAGCCCTGGGCCCCGCCCCACAGCCCACCATGCCCACTGAACCCTCATTCTTCATCTGTTTACACCAGTTAGCCAGCCCTTACTCTATCTGACAACAGCAACAGACTCCAAAATAGAAAGCTCCCAAACCACACTCTGGGAGTGAGCAAAGGTGTGCATGCACGTGAGTGTGTGCACGTATGCGTGTGGTGTCGGGAGAGGCAGAGATGGTAGAGTATGAAGAGAATTGGGGAGAGGAGGCAGAAACAGCGCAGGGGAGAACAGACGGACAGTGAGCGACGGAGAGATAGGGACAGGCATGGAGAGTGACAGGGAGAATCAAAGGGACAGTGAGAGGTAGAGGCAAAGAGAGATAGAGCATTGGACTGCAGGAGACTGGGTGTGGAAGAGAGATTCACAGTGACCCAGTGACAGACAGCCTGGGACGGGAGTGAGATACAGCAATAGTGCGAAAGTCATCGATGGAGAGAAAGACAGAGGTGGGGCAGAGACAGAGGCGATGGAGCAGGGAGCACTGGAGAAACTGGGTCAGAGAGGATGATGGCAGAGGAGTCAGAGGAACCTGAGGGTGAGGAGCAGGGAGGGGCTACAGTCAGGAGAGCGACAAAAGGCCGGCCAGAGCGCTGGGGAAGAGGTGAACCGCAGCCACATGTAATTACAGTGGCTCTGTGCAGGGGCGGCAGGAGGCAGAAATGGAGCCACCTTCAAACCCACAGCTCCCCAGGCTGCAGGACTAGGGCCCCTAGGCTCAGGGGAAAAAAGGAATGGGGGATGGGTAGTGAGGGAGGGAGGAAGAAAGGGGTCTGAGCTTCCACACACTCAGCCAGGGATCATGGGCAGGCCCAGGCTGTGCCAATGAAAGGGTGTAGGGTGCAGCCTGGGCCTCTCATCAGACCTCAGCCTATGCAGTTAGTTGGAAAGACAGGGGTCTCAAGAGGGTGGCCTTCCACTTGCCCCCTCCCCACATATCATGCTGGGAGAAAGAGAAGGAACAAGGAGACACAGAAACAAGAGGCTCAGAGATGCAGAGGCCACAGGGGCACAGAGAGAGGCAGGGGGACACGGGAGGGGGCATGGGGAGAGGCCAGGGGACATGGGGGGGGACATGGGGAGAGGTGGGGGGACACAGGGGGGACATGGGGAGAGGCAGGGTAACACAGGAGGGACACAGAAGGGGACATGGGGAGAGGCAGGGTGACACGGAGGGGGACATGGACAGTGGCAGGGTGACATAGAGGGGGACAAGGGGAGAGGCAGGGGGACACAGAGGGGGACATGGACAGTGGCAGGGAGACCCAGAGGGGGACACGGGGAGAGGCAGGGGACACGGAGGGGGACGTGGAAAGTGGCAGGATGACACAGAGGGGGAGATGACAAGAAACAGTAGGGAAGCCCACAGAGTACACAACCCATGGAGAGACCCAGAAAGAGACACATGCAGAGACAGAAACACAGGATAGTCTTGAAATGGAATCAATCACAGAGAACAGAGAGGGGCTGACATATGGTGTCCTCTATGAACTATCTCCCAATGACACAGAGAGGAAGGGGGCGGGGGAGAGAGAGGCAGAGAGCTGAGAGTTGAAAGAAGAGACGAGGGAGATAATTAGAGGGCTCAGTGGAGGCCTGGGCATGCAGGCCTGGGGGAGGGGAGTCGGAAGCACGTTGAGGGGAAGATTCTGGGGCCCAGCTGCCTTCCTGGGCCCAGAGCATAGCCCCTGTGGCCGTGACCCTCAGAAGCCCCTTAGGAATCCTTGTTCTAAGGGGTCTGGTCCCCCACAGTCAGGGGGACGGGCACCCCAAGGCCCCACATGGGAAGCACAGAGGGCAGCAGGCCCAGCAGGCATGCTCTCACCTGCCCAGTGAAAAACCACAGGCCTTGCCTGGAGACAGGAGCTGGGCAGGGCTGGCGCTCCTGGGATTCCTGCAGGGCAGCGGAGTTATTTGCTGGGAGCCTTTCCCGGGGTCCATGACTCCAGGAATGCAGGGGTGGGTTCCTTCCAGCTCCAACTGCTCTGTGGGCCTGTTGAGAGCCCCACTCATAGCTGGGCTGATCACTGAGAAATCAAATGGCTTTTGGACAAGTGGAAGCAGGCCAGTGGAGACGCTGGTGCCAGATGGTGCCTCCCCTAGCCCTGAGCCTGGTCTACACCAGCTCAGATATGGCTCTTGCAGGCTAAGACCAAGTTGCCATAAAAAGGGAGGCTCAAAGGGAAAAAAAAAAAGACAAAAAAAATTGTAAAACCAGGAGTTCGAGACCTACCTGGGCAATATATCGAGACCCCGTTCTCTCAAAAAAAAAAAAGACAAAGGAAAGAGAGGCTTAGGGTCCTAATTTTCAGGAAAGCAGGGGCCTGCCTAGCTCTGGCCCCTGGCCCCCAGAGGCATCTTCCATGAACTGGGAGACCTGACTCTCCCATGCGGTGTAATGAGACAGAAAGACCTGAGTGAGCAGCGGAAGATCCGAGCCGTGCATTCAACAGTTACCAGCCTGGCAAGTTATCAGAGTGGGGCTGCTTTGTCCTAATGCTCATGCCACAGGGTTTCAAGAAGGAAAGAAAATGCTCATTAGGGGGTTATTCACAAACCTTCACCCTCAGCCCCACTCCTCTTCCCTCTGTCCCTCCTTCCCCTCCTCTCTTTCCTTCCTCCCTCCTTTTTTTTTAAATGACTAGTTTGGCTTCTGACCTTTCCCTTTTCATTCATTCCTCCCCTCCTTCCTTCCTTCCTATCTGTGCTTCGTGGTTTAACATTTATTACGGACCTATGAGGCACCCAGCAATATAATGAGTACTGGGTATACCCAAGTGAGAAAGACCAGCTCATTGCCTTGCAGGGGTGGGGTGGGCTGGTGGCTCTTACATACACAGAGGTGCAAGAGTGACGGTAGGGCATCTGGAAGAATGGTGGAAGCACAGAAGATGGCCCCCTAGCCCAGATGGGTGAGTGTGGCTAGCAGGCTTCCTGGGGCAGGCAGTACTCACACTCAGTCTTGACCAATCAGTAGCACAGAAGGGGAGCTTTGAGAAGAGCAGCAGGAATCAAGACCCCCAGTGAGCTGCCACATGCTCTGGGGCGGTGTTGAGTCTGGGAAGCCTAGAATGATAGCTAGGGCATGACAGGCCTGTGGTCACTTCCCAGGCTTCCTGCAGAGGTCACAAGGGATCCCTGGGGTGACACTGTGAGTCCTCTGGTAGAGAGAGCCAGGACTTCTGCTCCCTGCCCTCCCTGCTTCCCTCCCTTCCCGCAGTGTTAGAGACACAGGGTAGTCTTGAACTGAAATGGAATCAATCGCAGAGAATGGAGAGGGGCTGACATACGGTGTCCTCTATGAACTATCTCCAAATGACACAGAGAGCACAGAGAGGAAGGGTGGGGGGAGGGAGAGGCAGAGAGAGCTGAGAGATGAAAGAAGAGAGGAGGGAAGGTGAGGAAGATGATTTAAGGAGCCTGGAGTTCACATCTCGAACCTCCTTACCCAAAGTGTCTCCACTCTGGGGGCAGTCTCTCCTGACAGTCACCTACAGGGCTGGTGACCTTGGATCTGGTGGGAACAGGAAATTATAGAGTGCAGACCAAGGCCCGAGGAGGCGCATCCTGTAGGAAGCCTACTAGGCATTAGACCATGGAGGAAAAATGAGGAAGGAAAGAAAACCAAGTCCAGTAATCTTGACCTGGAGACACACAAAGGGACAGAGAACCTCCGGAGCCAGGAGGGGCCGCAGAGAGGACCCAGCAAACCAGCACTGAGAGCAGAAGAGGGAGCTGTGCCAAGTGTCCAGAGACAGGGCAGCCGAAGGAAAAGGAAGCAGCAGCTGCAGGAGGACCTGGTCTGCAGCGGCGACACTGCCCTGGTGGCCCAGACCCCGAGGTGGGGACTGAGAAGCAGCTCCTGCTTGGAACAGATGGGGCAGAGGTGCCAAGAGCCCATGTTTCCATTCTGTAACCGAGACACTGCTGTCCAGCCACAGAGGGGAGAACATCTCAGGGGAGAAACTTCCCGAGAGTGGAAGTGCAGAGTGGGCAGGAGGGAAGGGGGTGGCCCGCAAAGGTGAAGGAAGCCCCTGTGTGGATGTACAATTCATGACCTGCAGAAGGTGCCTGCCAACGGAGTGAGTAGATGGGGCTGAAGTCCTCGTCTTCCTAGTAGGTGCCATCTGCTCACCCAACTGCATGCCTGCTCCATCTGACCAAGGGGGCACCTTTTTCCAATCTGCACCTGGTGCCACGCATGCTGGTGGCATCTCTGAGCAGAAGCTCCCGGCCCTGTAGCCCTCCTCTCAAAGGTGGCTATCTACAAAGGGGAGATATGGAAAGGCAATAGCTCCTTTGCTTCAATGCGCTCCCATTCCTAACATGGGATAAGATTCTAATAAATGTCTGGAGTTCTGGAAAGACAACCGGCCCCAGAAGGGAGTGGGAGTCACATGTAAATCCATGAACCCAAGAGGAAAGGCTGAGACTCACACCCTCAGCAAGGACTCTGTGGGCTCTCCCTGCCCGCCATCCACCAAGTCCTGGACCAACAGGGAGTAGGGGGACCTCTTTCAGGTGGGATGAGTTCAAGCCTGGACAGTGCCCATGGGAATTCCAGCCAGAAGACCCCTGGATGGTGTGCAGAAAGGCCCACGCTCCAGAGCTCTGCTGCCTGGTGCCTTAAGTGTAGCCCTCATCATTGTCCTTGTGGACTGTGGATCTGGGCTTCCCCTTTGGAGCTCTGACCATCTCTGGAGAGAGAAGGCCAGAACCTCCTATGGTCAGAGAGTGGTGGCTGGAACCTCACACTTCAGTCTTTCCTTGGCTCGGCATTCAAGGCCTCAGTCTGCATCTTCAATCTATCAATGTACCAGGATCCTGTGTTCCAGACAGACTGGCCTCTCCATGGCCCAGGCTGTAGCCAGATATTCTGACAGTCCACCCATGCTTATATCGTTCCTGTTAACCAGAAGCTCCTACCTCTCCCACTCTCCAAATCCAACTCATCCTTCTGGACCAAGCTCAAGCTTCACCTCTTCTTCTAGAAAACGTTCTCTGACCCAGTTGCTGAAGACTTAGCTCCAGTGTCCCCTCTTGTTAATAACTTGTTAGTGAAGTCCTGGCTTCTCAAGCAGGCTACAGTCCTCACAACTCACTCCCTGGGGGTGGCGTCCATATTCATCTCTGCATCCCCAAGGAGTACTCAGCAAATGCCTACTGGAGAGTACTTTCTGGAGTTCAGAATGCCCCAGTCAGGGGAAGGAGAGAGAGGGCTGAGGAACAGGGGTGGCATCTGGACCTGAACCCCAAGAAAGTCAGAGAGGGTGGACTTCTTTGATGCACACATGGGTAATGTGAATCCATTGGTCACAGTCCCAAGGCACCAAGCTGAGAACCAAACAGGGCCTGGGCTGGCCAGTTAGGCTGGGTCAAGTTGGTTTTATTTTAGGTCTGAAGGCTCCAATTCCCCAGGAAATTCAATTTAGAACCATGAACAGGAATGTGACGCCCCAGTGCTGGGCAGAAATGTGCCTGTGGGCTAGGGAGCCAGGCTCCTGGGGCTCTCAGGGGTGGGCGGGAGGAGGCCACTAGGAGAGCCAAGGGTGTGAGGGCTTGGCCACCTGCCCCTACCAGATCTGCCCTGAGCCCCCTTGTTCCCTGTCTGCACTGGGGCGGCTGAGGGAGGGGCTGACTTGCTCCCTGGCTGTCCTGCCAGTAGGGCCTCTGGGGGCAGCGCTGTGGCCTTGCTGTTCTGTCAGCGCCCAAGGAGCAAAGCGTGGGGGATTCTGGTCTCGGATTCAGGCGTCTGTGGGGTTTTGGCTGGGTCTCCTGCGGTTTCGGCTTCCTGGGCAGCAGGCTCATTCTCCCAAGGCGGTGGCAGAGCAAAGCCTTGAGTTATGAAAGCCGCATTGTCTGGCCCAACCCAGGCTGGGGAGGGGGCCTGCTGGGGCGCTGGGGGGCCTCAAGTTACAGCCCGGGGCTTCACCCTCCCAGTCGCCCACCCTGGCCCTGGTTCTGTGCAGTTAGCTCCCTCCTCTTGCTGCTGGAGCTGAGAGTGGCTTCAGCAAGGAAGGAGATCTTGGAAGGTGAAGGAAGACCAGAAAAAATGGATCAGGGGAGGGAGAAAGCTGGGGAGAGCAGGAGGCTGAGGAAGGGAGGAGGCAGGAGGGAGGCCCAGTGGGACAGGGAAGATTCCCAGACACAGAGAAGGACCCTTCCAAGTGCCCTGCCCCCAGCTCTCCCTCTGGGCTGAAGGAGTCCAGTTCTTGGAGGCGCTCATCGTGCAGAAGGCCCCGTTGCAGGGGCCCCACAGAGACAGCAGGGAATTTGAGGCTAGGCCAAGATAGGCTGCAGACACGCTGGTCTCATCTATGTGCTGGCTGTTGGCCAGACATCTTCCACTTGTCCTCACTCTGGTTTAGAGGACCCCCACCTCCACAGTTAGGCGTCCATACCAAGTAGGTGGGGAATGAACGCGGAGGGGCCTCCTCCAACGGGCAGGCAGGCCACGAGGGCGGGTGCATGTGGAGGCTGAGGCCAGAGAAGGGAAGGAGCGTCCAAGGCAAGGCAGGGAGTTCACGTCAGAGGTTCGGGAGCAGACCTTCATTATTCACAGTCAAATTGGGGAAAGGGAGAATGGGGCTGGCGGGGAGGAAGGCAACGACTTAGACAGAGGAGATTCAAGTTATGAAATCCGGGTTCACACTCCTGCACGCGGTTCCCCTGGCCCTGAACACATCCCAGAAGTTCCTGCCTTCTCCCTGATCCGGACTTCCATTTGGGAGCTTCAACTAGGCATCTGGCCAGTGAGGGGAAGGGACTGAGAACCACGGCCAGCAAGGCCCCTACCCTAAACCCCCTCAGGAAGTCAAAAACCGTCCTTGGCTTGGGAGGCTCCCCCAGGAATAGCGGGTGGGTTACAGATGGCGCCCGGAGCGGGATGGGGCACTTCACTCGGGCTGTAGACACGGGGTAGGGGTGCGCGTGTGTGAACAGGGCAGGGGCGGCGGGCACTGGCCGGCACGAGAGGGAAGAAGGAAAGAGAAGGAGAAGGGATGGCAAGAAAGAGGGGAGGAACCGGGTCCTGCAGCCGCTCGCGGCAGACAAAAGTTTTCGGGAAGCGCTCGGCTCTATTTGGGCTGGGGGAAGGGAAGGAGAGAAAGACTCAGACAACGCCCCCTCCCTCCACACCAGGCCCCCATAAATATTTACACTTTGGGCAGAAACGGTCGAGACACAAATCCCAGACGGACAGACAGACACCGAGGAGTGTGTGTGTGTGTGTCTGGTGTCGGGAGTTGCGGGGAGTTGGAGCCAACTTGGCAGAGCCGCAACCTCTGTTCAGAGCCCTGCCTCCCCCGCCCAGCCCCCTACTCTCCCTGGACCAAGTCCCCACACCCAAACCTTTCGTCCCTATCCCTTCCAAGCTCCCCAGAGCCGTCTCCCCGAGTCTGGGGGCGGAGGAGGAGAACAAATAATTGGCCCCTTCAGCCGCCACCCGCCCCTGTCCAGCTTCGCCCTCCACTCCCGGTCCTACCTGGGCCCGGGGCTGCGCTGGGGGCTCCATGGGGTGCGTCGCAGCGAGAGGACCGCTGGCCGCTCACCTGGTACATCGGCCTCGGACCTGCGGAAAACAGGGTTCAGCGGGCGAGGCCGGGGGCGGGCAGGGGGCGATCATCCCCCAACGACGCGCGCCTCCCCAGTCCACTCACTCGTGCGAGCCGCGCTACGCTCTTTTCCAGCCGGATCCCCGCGTGGGGCCCGCCATCGGTGCCTGCTCCTGGCGCCCCCGCCCAGGGCCCGCTCGCTGCCGGGTCCTCTCCCGGCGCCCCCTCCCCTCTCACTTTTTCCCTTTACGGCGCCTGCTCGCGCTGTTCGCCCCTTCCTTCTTCCTTCTCTCTCCAGCCCCCACGCTCCTCCCCTGCTCGCCTCTCCCCTCCCCTCTTCCCTGGCCCACCCTCTCCCCGCCCCCTCCTCGCCTTCCCAGTCGCCCCTCTGCGGGTCCCCTCCCCTGCGCCGTGCTCGGCCCAGCCCGGAGCGGGACACGTTTGTCCGCGGGGCGCCCGAGGCCCAAGCCCCCACAGGAAGCCAGCTCGGCGCGTTTCCTCCGCGCTCCTGGAGCGGGTCCTCAGTCTCCCTAAATCCCTGCCCCCTGAGGCCCAGAGCCCCGCGAGCTGCACGTTTTCCTTCGCCTGTCCAAACTCTGCAAAAGTTTCTGGAAAATCAGGAGAAACAGAGAAGCCTCAACCACTTCGAGCAACTGTCTGAATAATTGCGGGCTCCAAATCTCTTTGCCCCAAAGATGGGCGCGATCAAGCTCCTCAGTCACCTTATGCCCCTCAGGCTCTGCCCGGGTTCCTAAGCCGGGGACCGGGATCTGGGCTCCCAGGCCACCCGCCCAAGCCACCAGGGTTGTCTGTCCGGGAAATCCGGTTAGTGACCAACCAGCCTCCCCTGTGCCGCAGCAGCCCAGAGCATCCCCGACCTCCTGCCCCTGCCAGCTGTGCGTGGGAATGTGTGTCAGAAAACCGACTCCAGGGGCAAAGAGAGGTCCTCCGAATTCAGCCCTTCTTTGGTATCCAGAGTGGAATCCGAGGCCTTCTAAGATGAGGGTTCGTGGAGAAAGGGGAGGGAGGGGGCCTCGGGCCAGCTGAGCTTCGCCTCTGGGTGGTGAGCGCGGTGGTAGGAGGGCGCTGCTACCAGGCCGTCCGAGAGGGTTCAGGGACCCTCAGCGCGACCCCGGGACCTGGTCCTGGAGAATGGGGAAGACCTTGGAGCCTGCAGCCCTCCAGGTGGGGCTGGGCGGGCCCGTGGGATGATGTTCAGGGTGGGGCGGCCCCCTGGGGTGACAGCGTCTCGGCCACACTTGGCCGGGGCCGCCTAGGAGCCGCATCTGGGCTCCCCACCACGAGGGCCAGTGAGCAAATTGGAAGGCGACGGCGGCGCCAGGCCACCTTTTCTAGTCCCGGGTCCAGCCGGTTCTGGAAGTGGGGACGTGGGACGCAGAAAGCCGGGCGTCCCACTCCCCGCTTTTTGGACTCTCCCAGCCCCCCATAGTCGCTACTTACGGCTGTCGCAGGTTCTGTGGGCGCCGTCGGGGCCAGGACTGGGATGGCCCCCACGGCGCCAGCAGCGCTCTAGCCACCGCGGCCGCGTCCCAGAGATGGGCTGGGGTGGTTGTGGTCCGGAGGAAGGTGGGGCGGAACGGGAAGAGAGGCTTCCGTCCCGTAGTCCTGGCTGCTCGCTGCGGTGGCCTGTCCTAGCGTTCCAGGAGCCGGCTGGGATCCGGTTGCTGTCCGGGAGCTCTGGAGAGCTGAGCCGACTCCCCCTTCCTGGCACGGGCTGAGTCACTCGGACGGGACTCGCCCGCGGCCTGGGCCTGGCGGCTGCTGCATTCTTACCTGCTTACCTGGGCGCGAACGCTGGGCCTCACCCACCTTCAAAGGCAATCCCGACCGTCTCTTTCCGTTTCCTCCCGCTTATAGGGCCCCCTCCCGAACCCCGGACCTCAGTGCTGCATCCCTCCCTCTGGTTTCTCAGTCTCAATCCAGGGCCCCTAAACTCTGCATCAGCTCAGTCCCGGAGCCTTACTGTTCCAAGTCGCCTGCTTGATCTCAAAGGCCCTCGGAATCTGGCCCAGTGCTAAGGTCGGTTTTGTTGGAAATGTAAATCATACTTTAAGTTTAATCCCACATGCTGGTTATACAGGTGTGCTCAGTTTGTAAGGATACAGCAAGAGGAGCATTTTAGGGTTAGGCAATTTTTTGGTATGACTATTATACTTGAATAAAAAAAATTTAAAAATCAACACATTAAAATCAACATTTCAGGACAGAACCCGATAGGGTACGAAGGCCGGGGGCCTGGCGTGGGGGCTCAGATTCCAGACCTACCACCTACTGTATTTCTTTGGGGAAATCCGTTTGCCTTTCAGCCTCAGGAGGGATGAGCACTGAGGCCCAGGACCAGGACTGGGGTGAGGTAAGTGAGACACTCATCTGGTGTGCAAGATTTCTGGGGTGCCAAGATAAGGAATTTTTCCTGGATGTAGGATCTTGCTCTGTGGGCCAGGCTGGAGTGCAGTGATGAGATCTCAGGTCACTGCAACCTCCGCTTCCCAGGTTAGAGCAGCTGAGCCTACAGGTACTTGCCACCACACTTGGCTAATTTTTTTTGTTTTTAGTAGAGTCGGAGTTTCACCATGTTGGTCAGGCTGGTCTGGAACTCCTGATCTCAAGCAATCTGCCTGCCTTGGCCTCTCAAAGTGCTGAGATTGCAGGCATGAGCCACCATGCCCCACCTGATAAGGAATATTTTAAGGCAATATTTTCATATACCAAATGGGCAAACTACAGCTCTTTGGGCCGGCTGCCTTGTTTTGTAAATAAAGTTTTATTGGAAGCAGGACCAGGATTAAGGTGAATTGATCATGTAAGTTCAGGGTCAGATCCTGTCTTTATCTAAAATGTTGGCATTTTGTTCATCATAGACTTTTTGGCATTAATCTGATTTTTATACATATTGCAGGAAAATATTGTTTTATCTTAATTACTGAGTTTTTGGATGCCTCTTAAGTTTTGCCCCTGGGGCCTAGTGCCTCCTTCACTCCAGGTGTCACACGCCACACCGTAGTCCCGGCCCCGTGACTGTCTCTTCCTGAGGGACCTGTCCAGGAAGCCAGGGTAAACGAGTGGAGATCAAAGATGTTCCCGCACCCAACACACACACACACACACACACACACACACACACACACAACACCAAGTGGGCTCTGCACCCAAGCCCAGGCCCAGCTTCCCCCGGGCCCAGTTTCAGAATAAAGTGCAAAGTCCTTCAGTCCCCGTGAGCTGGGCCCCACCTACCTTGACCCTCATCTCCCCTCACTTGTTTCCTGTCAGCCATGCCACTTCCTTTTTTCGTTTTTTCCGTTAATTTGCCAGGGACATTGTCACCTCAAGGCCTTTGCCCTTGCTCTTCCCTCTGCCCAGAATGTACATCCCCCAGATACCCACGTGGGCCCTTTCCTCATTTCTTCTGCTTATGTCAGCTTCTAAGAGAGGCCATCCCAGACTTCTCACTCTCTGTCCCCAACACCATTTTATTACTCGACACAGCCTTTTTCACCACTTGGCCTGTTCTAGATGTGGAAGAATGAAAGGTCCCTGAGAGCAGGGCTGCCTTGTCTGCCAGTGTGTCCCCTAGAAATGTATCTGCTGCAGAGAGTGCAATACATTTTCCAGTTTCGCAGGTTGGAAAACAGAGACCAGAAAGGAGAAGGGGCTGATACAAGTCATGTAGTGAGTTAGTGGCAAAGCCTTAGCAAATCAGCTTTCTGGACTCCCAGCTCAGTATTCTTTCCTGCCCTCTGGGATTTATTCCCTACTCTCCACCCCAGAGCCTTCCAGGCAACGAAGGGGACAGAACCGCCTTGCATGGGGTCTGCCCCTCACAATCCCCCCCCCACAAAGTGGAGCAGGCCGGCGCACAACTCCTCCCTTGCAGTCCATTCCACGTGACCACAAGGTCTGGCCCAGCTCCAGCCTCTGGCGCCCACCCCTCCTCAGTGGCCAGCAGAATGCACAGCTCTTCCCCCACTTCCTGTCTCTGGCAGAAGGCCGGTCTGCTGGGCTGGCTTCTGCAGCTGGACCACAGCTGTGGTCCCAGCGCCTAGAGAATGGGGACAGGGCACTATCTGGGAGAATGGGGCCCTTCCAGAAGAGGGGTGCGTAAGCTGGGGTATGTTTGTGTGAGGCGAGGAGGAGAAGCTGCTGGGTAGGGATTGAGAGCCCCCAGTTCTTTCTACCCCTGTCCTGGATGGGCCCTGAGCAGAGAATGGGGATCTAACCCTCCCCCTTCCTGAAGGAAAGGGTATGCAATAGGGTGAAGGGTGCTCTGGGCCCCATGCCTGATTCTAGCCCTCCCTGCTACTCCTGGTGATGGAGGATGACTGGGGTGTGTCAGTTTCAGCGGTCATGTGTTGAGCATGTTCTGTATGTTGGGCCTTTGCTGGATACTTCTAGATTTATTTCCTTTAATGCCTACAACAGTCAGCATAGTTATTATCCCCATTTTATAGATGAGGCAACTGAGGTATGGTGAGGTGAGGTGAAGAGACTTGCCCACTAGTAATGGGTGGAGCTGGGACTTAGACCATGTTTTCTGAAGCCAAACACAGCATTCATCCTAATCCCAGGCATGGCCTTCGGTGTGTAGAAAGGGCTGTGATGTTCTCTTCCACGTGCTGCTCACAGCGGCCCCCCTCCCCACCGCCAAGCTGGTTGCTGAAGGTGAGGACATGGCCCTCTGTATCCCTCCTCTGTCTCATTGTGTTGGAGTACCAGGAACTTGGCAGGGTATATGGGAAGAGTGGGGCTTGGTTTGTGTCATGGAGACCCAATTTGTATTCTGGCTCAGTCACTTCTACTGCGCTATGTGATTTTGGGCAAATCGCTTGAACTCTCCAAGCCTTTAGTTCTCCTGGGTAAACGTGGCAAAGTTGTTGGCTGTCAGCAAATGGGAACTCTTGCCCATCACGTCCCTCCCCAGTGCTCACCCTGTGGCAAGGGAGGGAAGCTTCAGAGGGCAACATTTCTGTTGTACTGAGTTTTACTTACAAACTCTTACATCATACTTACAGCACAACAGGTACAGTTCACAGCTTTTACATGAATTAACCAATATATTTTATTTTATTTTGAGACCTTGTCTCAATGAGCTATAGCTGGGACTACAGGTTCATGCCACCATGTCTGGCTAATTTTATTTTATTTTTTGTAGAGATGGAGTCTCACTTAGTTGTTTAGGCTGGTCTCAAACTCCTGTCCTCAAACAATCCTCCTGCCTTGGCCTCTCAAAATGCTGGATTACAGGCCATTTCAACAATTTTTAAGTGTACAATTTTTAAGTGTAATTGTATCCACAATGTGCAAATTGCACTGCCATCTATTTCCAAAACTTTTCATCACCTCAAACAAAAACTATAACTATTAAGCAATAACTCCTTGTTTTAATTTCTTAGACCCATCACGACAAAGTACTGAAAACTGCATGGCATAAACTAACAGTAATTTATTATTGTCTGATGGAGTTGGAGGCTTGAAGTTCAAAATGAAGCTATGGGCAGGCCCGTGCTCTCACTGACAGCTCTGGGGGAGAAGACTTCCTTGTCTCTCTGAGCTCCTGGGAGTTACCAGCACTCCTTGGCTCGTGGATGCACTGCTCCAGTCACATGGCTGTCTCTCCCTGTGTGTCCTCACATCAGTGTCCCTCTATACATGTCTGAGTCCACATTTTTTTTTTTTTTGAGATGGGGTCTCTCTCTGTAACCCAGGTTGGAGTGCAGTGGTGTAACCTCCACTCACTGTAACCTGTCCGCCTCCCAGGCTTAAGTGATCCTCCCACCTCAGCCTCCCAGGTAGCTGGGATTACAGGCGTGCACCACCGTACCTGGCTAATTTTTGTATTTTTAGTAGAGACTGGGTTTTGCCATGTTGTCCAGGCTGGTCTTGAACTCCTGAGCTCAGGTGATCCCCCCACCTCGGCCTCCCAAAGTGCTGGGATTACAGGCATAAGCCACCATGCCTGGCCTGTGTCCAAATTTTTATAAGGACACCAGTCATATTGAATTAGGGATCTTATTAACCTGGTTAAATCTGCAATGAACGTACTTCCAAATAAGGTCAAATTCTGCAGTACTGGGAGGTAGGACTTCAGCATATCTTTTGGGGGTACACAGTTCAGTACATAACACTGCCCAGAAAAAGCTGGATCAAAGTAGAAAAGTAAAGAAGTGAGATAAAAAGTAAGCGTAAATGAATCTAATGTAAATAAAAGTACATGGAAACGTGTTTCTTCCTGAATCCCACTGTGGAGATAATGATGTGTTCCTCTTCCTGAAGGAATATATGTATTTAACAAATAGGCTTGCCTTACCCCACTGATTAAGATTTTTCTGGAGCCCACATTTCCTTGACAATCTGATGAACGCTAAAATCACCCTCTCCAAAAACCTTCCCCTTGAGTAAATATAGCATTTCTGGTACAAGCTGGGGAGATTCCTGGACACCCCAGAAAGCCCCATTGAAGATGATTTGCCATAATTGGAAGGACTGCTCCAGGGGCGGAAACTCAGGCATCTATGTGTAGTGGCATTGGGGATGGGAAGAGAGAATTGTATCCACCTCTGTGGTCCTGCTTCCAGTCTGTAGGCTTTTGAGGGCAATCTAACATTATTGAAGACAATACATAAGGCCAAATCCATGGGAAGTATAGAAAGTGAATTGAGTCAGATAATCAGAAAACACTTCCTAGCAGCCAGGAGTATAAGACAGAACTGTGGGTGAGGAGGGAGGTGGAGAG